GTATTTCTCCCGCCTTCTTAGCATGCCTTCGTAGTGTAGTGGTCAGCACGCTGTGTGCGTATTCCAGATGTCCGTGGTTCGATTCCGGTTGAGGCGTTGCTCATTTTTCATCTCTCCTGGTTTAAAAAAAAAAAAAAAAAAAAAAAAAAAAAAAAAAAAAAAAAAAAACCACCTAATGTCTCTACAGTGGTGCCCGAAGCCCGAACTAAAAGGTGATGAATGATGATTCTTCACCACCAAGATTTGGCGATTGAGTCTTCTAAAAACACCAGTCGCTCTTTGAAAGGGGGAGTATATAAGGTATTTCTCCCGTCTTCTTGGCATGCCTTCGTAGTGTAGTGGTCAGCAGGCTCGACGCGAATTCGAGAGGTCCGTGGCTGGAGTCCCGGCGAGGGCATTGCTCATTTTTCATCTTTCTTATATTGTTATATCGCTTCAATATAACCTAACGTTTCGACACTTGTTGAAAGTGTTATCTATTTAAATGTTCTACACTACTTAAATACACGTAATTTACCCCTGTTATTCTTAGATAAGAAATGTTTTAAAAGTAAGGTTTAACAATACAGCAATGTTACATGCATTTTATGTAGAATATTATGCAACATGTAGAGCAGTGTTACGTACATTTTATGACGAAGCCATGTAACATTGGTATACGTTTCGTAAGGTATATTTTAATTTCATAACAGTTATTTTAATTTGGAAGACCTTTCCTATCCATTCTTGTTTCCACTTACAACTCCCTAACAGAATGAGTTTTTAGAATCGAGTTGAATGCAAATGAGTTAGAAGAAGTATTTAAGGAAGGTTCAACTAACTTTGAGAGAGACGGCTAGGAATCCTTAGTAGCGCGTGTTTGCCTTCGGGCTAAGTCTCTTTTGAAGCTGTTACGCTCTTCGTAGTATTACGTGCTTTCAAATTAAGGGCCGACTAGGTTAGATACTTGTATTTAGCTTCCACTAAGTCTCTAGTTAATTATAGTTTAGTTGTTTTTTTACTTCCTTGTACGAAGTAAAAAGGAAGTATTGTAATCGCGAAAAGTTACAGGCAGCATATTTCAACGAAAATATCCATTTTGACCTCTATCGAATGCAATTTAACGATGTTTTTGGTGATATCTGTACGTAAAGACAGAATAAAAGACTCGTTTCCTCCAAAAAAAATTATAAAACTGCTTTAAAAGTAATTCTGAAGAGAATTTTTCGTGGCGTCTGTACGAACGTATGTACGTACGTATCTCGCATAACTCAAAAACGAGTAGCCTCAGAACGTTGAAATTTTGTATATAGGACTGCTATAACATATAGATGTGCACCTCGTATTTTGGTTGCAATCGGCCGCACCAAACGTATATAAATATATATATATATATATATATATATATCTCCACTCTGTTACCCGGCTCAGTGATCTCGGTTTCTTTACTCGTATATGTTTGTTAAATTGTGCATTTTTTGCTTTAAAAATGATTGAATTATGTTGTTCTTATCTTCCGGTTACAGGTTTTTATGTGCCTTTAGTAAATCTGCATGCAATATTTGTGGTAGCAGTTATCAACAATTTTAAAAGTTGTTTTAAGTGCCGCTAAGCCTAATTATTTTTGCTATGGCGGCCATGATTGTTTACATTTGAAACTTAGCAGAAATAGCGGATTTGTTGCCAATATAGAGAAACTTAAGCTTCGCAACAACAAAGATAACGCCTTCATTTTATTATTTCCAATTAAATCACGTTTTTAAATTAATGCATTAATTCCTAAATTCCAGAATGGAATTCATTTTCGAGGAAAATAAGTGTTTAAGATTTATTTCGTAATTTTTAATACAGATATTTTGAGTTTTTATGTATTTTTGCCTTGTCGCGAAGTGAGAACCGAATTAATTGAATGAGAAATACTCGATCGTCTGTGAAAAACTGTTTCTTTTTTTGTTTTGTTTGCTTAATTTCTTTTACACATCGTTTTAGCTTTATTATAGTCGTTGAATAGAACATGTGGCAACGATTAGATAATTCTATTCTTTAAATGATATAAATTTTGCGCATTATGAGTTATAATATGAACGAAACATAATACTGTTAAGTGAATCTAGTGCCAGAGTGTCTGCTATGGTAAACAAATACTACAATGAATTTTAAAGAATGCATTTATTCTAGTGTGGTTTATTCGCTGTCGGCGAAGTATATTTAATTCAATCCAATAAGTTTAAATGAAATGCAAGAAAAAGTGCATATAATTTAATATTCCGTACAAGGAAGTCATGTGGTGTAGACATCAGATTTTCTTTATTCCGAGTAGAGACTTTCCTGTAAGCTCGAGAAGGGGGACGACTGTTATTCTTATTTTGAGTGAAACAAAGGGTATATTAACTCTTCTCGAGTCTAAGTTTTAGTTGTTTGAACTCGATTAGTTAATTCTTTAGTTGTTTGCGATAATTTCACTAAGTCTCTCGACGTTCATCTTAGACAAAAATAGTGAGAAACCCTACAGTGTTACTTAAGATATACATATCAATGTTATAGACTTTTTATGCAGGAAATGAAAAGAAAATCCGTATTATCACTACGAATGCAATTGACAAAAAGAATCTACTTTATATTGCTTCAGGTAACATTAATAATATAAATGAAAAGCTTTAATTATTTTGGATGTTTATTTTTGGGATCTTCATACTTTAAAAAAATCCTGCCGAATTCTGATTTTTTGCGAAACCCCATTTTGAAACCCACTTGTATAGAGTGATGGAGAGCTGAAAAGTCAAAAAACATATTTCAGATTAGCGATGTTACGGAAAATGAGCCGAGCAACGAAACAAGGTTTCTTTAGCTTGAGATGAACAATTCGTACGCATCCTTGAAAAGAATAAAACGTTTACAGCTAGCAGGTAAAAACAAATGGGCTAATCTTTGGAATATGGTAATAGGTAGTTTGGCGACATTTTGGTAAGGCGATAAAGGTTACTAGCTAGGACTTTAGCAGCGTACATGGATAAAGTCAAGAGTGTGCGCAATGCCATTTTTGTGCAATTCTGGGATTTTTTTTAAGTGAATATAGGTCGACGTGTACATGGATGATACCGTGTATGTGCAATTCTTAAAAACGCGGCAAGCAGTTTGCGATTCTGCACTTTCTCCCAATTTCGCACCTAATCTTCGTCATGATTAAGCACTTTTGTTCCATAAAAGTTCTAGCATAAGCGTAATTCGGCTAGCAGATTGTTGGTAAAAAATGTTGAGGGGGGAAAAAAATCATGCCTTTACTTCGTGAAAACAAAATGGCGTCCAAAACAAAACTAGCAGGTTGCTGTAGCAGGGTTGGTCGCCAAAAATCGCCAAGTTACCATAATCCAAAGATTGACCCACAAATGATCAGTGATGTTGAACAAATGACACATAATTTTGCATCCCAGCCGCTAAATTCGTAGACGACTACGAATTGAAACAATTTTTGAATCAGACATTGAAATTTCCTTTCCACAGCCTATTGAGAAATACACATCGTATTGAGAAACGATTAATTGAACTTACATTGTTATTTCATTGCAGTTACTTCGACGTAGACATACCTACACTCATGGAATCTTTTTTAGACGGATAATCATTTCGACCGGATTCTAAACTAATTATAGATACTACAAAAATTATCGTTCATTTCAATTTAGATAACTCCATAAGGTATTATCGCCTTCCGCCGTGCGTGTTGTCGTGATGTAAATGCTTTGGTTACATCCATCTAGCACTGGAAAGTCCGCGACTCAAATCAAGGGCACAGTTGATTATTAACCCTTAAAAGCATGAATTTTTACTTTTATTGTTAAAGTAGGAAAAACACTAAAAGAAGAATCTTAAGTTTTTATTCCAATTTTTGAAAAAATACTATTGTTGCCAAATAGCTACATTATGAAAAAAATAAAAGTTAGGCAAGTGTGTAATAACAATTTTACGTAATAATACATACCGTATAAACTTGTTCAAACAATTTTAAAACTTTGAAGACATCAAAATAACAATAAACACAAAATCAAAAATTCGTAAACACAAATGAATGTCCACTCCCTACACAATAATGACTGTTACACCACATTGAAACTTTCAAACCTATATACGTAAACACTGTGTATCCAATTGCTTACACTGTGCAATAAGCTAAAATTTGTGTTATGATTTGATTTACGTTTCTGAATATGAATACATTGCCAAAGGGCAACTACATGCATTTAAGTGTTGTTTTTCCACACCGAAAAACAAATCTCTACAATGGTCCCCGAATTAAAATGTGGAGGACGATAATTCGTCATCGACTGGATTTGGTCGCCTGGATATCAGCCTCCACCGAATCGTCTTTTAAGTGGAGGAGAATGTAAGGAATTATTAAATTCCGGCATGAGTGCTGTTGTCGCGTAAAACGAGAAAATCAACGATTCGAATTCTGACGAGGTATATATTAGATTTGTCACACTTCCTGCTACGAAAAATTCAGTACTTGGATTATTCAATTATGGCAAATCACACGAGGGCTATCTGCCTAAAGGGAGGGATGCCTTTGTGGTTGACTTTCTAAGGGAAACTGGCTAGTGTACACCTTACACATCGGGAAAACCACGAAAACGCCCATGCAGCCAGCCCGTTCGCGGGATTCGAACCTCGGACCGAACTACCAGTGTTCAGCGTCTTTACCGCTCGGTCGCTGGTGGGCTTCCAGTACTTGAGGAGAATATTTTTAGATATCTTGATCTTATAAACTGCTTGCAAAATTTGGCGCATTTTTATTCAAGCCCATTAGAGATTCAATGTCGACGATTTTATCGGTGAATCTCGTAACATTTTAGGCTGACTTACACAGAATAAGTATCTTTAATATCAAAGGAACTTTCGATATTAATAAATAAATTGACATATTTTTTTACCCTTATAGAACTTTGTTTTAAATATAGAGAAAATAAGCTACTAGCAACTAATTCCTGAGATAAATATAGATGTGGAAACGACTCACCTTTCAACTGCATTTTAAAATTTGAAAAGCTACTGCATCTGGGCCATTCTTCATTTGGAGTCATATTTCACGCTAGAAGCCAAACAAAATAGTATTAAAATAGCAATATGGGATGTTAAATACTTTTGTGAAATAAAATATATATTAATATCGCTAGAGATGTTAAATAAAATTATTTAGAGATTTCTCTGCGACTACTATTAAATTGTCGAACTATTAAGTACACACTCGAACACTATAAGAAGTACTAATTGTACGACAAAAGAAATAAAATAACATGTGTAACAGTAAAGGAATAAAGAATTAGCTAATCATACAAAATAGTTCTTTATTAACATAATTATTTTCTTAAGTATTAATTTAGAATACACGCAATTATAATAATCTCTTATAATTGCATGCATATAAAATATTTTTTTTTTTTTTTTTGAATTTTTTCTTCGCCTTATACGTTCAGGATAAATTTCTACATTAGCCTAGTTTATTTAAAATAAGTTATAATTGTTTTTATAAAAAATTCATAAAATTTTTAAAAAAATGCAAATTAATTTATAAAAAGATAAAATAATGGACAGGTCGCGCTTTCGAGTTTCAACCGCGCATTTAAAATTATTATTAAATTTGAATTATGATAATGCAATTAAAATCAACTAGTAGAAGAATGAAACGCATTAAAATCCTAAGAAAACAAGCAAAAGAAAGGAATAAAATAACAAAGTAATCAAATACAATTCTGGATTAAAAAGCAAATAGAATTAACGCAAGGAGCAAAACGAATAATCAGAACAATTTGAGAATAAAATGTAAATAGAAACAACAACAAATATTCAGCTTGGGATTACCGCCTAAATGGACAACACACAACGACATTCGAAAGACATTACTGAACATGTAAATAGAAACAAAGCAATTGAATAAGAAAAAATCTGATGTGTACACCACATGACTTCCTTGTACGGAATGTTCAATTATACGCATTTTTTCTTGCATTTTATTTAAACTTATTGGATTGAATTAAATATACTTCACCGACAGCGCATAAAGCACAATAGAATAAATGCATTCTTTAAAATTCACTCTAGTATTTGTTTATCATAGCCACACTCTGGCCCTAGGTTCACTTAAGAGCGTTACATTTCATTCGTTTTTTGACTCAGAATGCACGAAATTTATATCATCTTAAGAATTATCTAATCGTTGCCACGTTCTATTCAAATACTATAATAAAGCTAGAACGATGCATAAAAGAAATTAAGCAAACAAAACAAAAAAAAAAAAAGAAACAGTTTTCCACAGACGATTGAGTATTTCTCATTCAATTAATTCAGTTTTCACTTCGCGACAAGGCAAAAATACATAAAAACTCAAAATATCTGTATTAAAAATTACGAAGTAAATCTTAAACGCTTATTTCCTCGAAAAAATTATAGAAAGGATTAAGCATGATTTAAATAATAAATGAAGGCGTTATCTTTGTTGTTGCGAATCTAAGTTTCTTTAGATTGGCAACAAATCCGCTATCCTGCTGTTTCAAATGTAAACAAGAACAATGACCGCCATCAAAAACATTATTAGGCTTAGCGGCACAATTTTAAAATTGATAATTCTAAAAATATTGCATACAGATTTACTAATGGCATAAAAACCTTAACCGGAAGATAAGAACAACATAATTCAATCATTTTTAAGGCAAAAAATATGCAATTTACAAACATATAAGAGTAAACAAACTGAGATCACTGAGCCGGGTAACAAAGTGGATATATATATAAATAAATTTATATACGTTTGGTGCAACCAAAATATGAGTGTGCACATCTACATGTTATAGTAGTCCTATATACAAAATTTCAACGTTCTGAGGCTAATTGTTTTTGAGTTATGCGAGATACGTACGTACATACATTCGTACAGACGCCACGAAAAATTCTCTTCAGAATTCGTTTTAAAGCAGTTTTATAATTTGTTTGGAGGAAAAGAGTGTTTTATTCTGTCCTTACGTACATATATCACGGAAATACATTGTTAAATTGCATTTGAAAGAGGTCATATGGGATATTTTCGTTAAAATATGCTGCCTGAAACTTTTCGCGATTACAATACTTCCTTTTTACTTCGTAGAAGAAAGTAAAAATAGCTTAATTAGTATCCCAAGCCTTTTGTACCCATCTTTTTGTACATTGTACAATATCGGTGAGATGGCGTGCACATTTATTCTTTGAAGGTAAATTTATAAGTTGACATAGTTAATGATATACATAATATACCAAAAAAATTCTAAAAATATAATTTGAAGATTGTAGAGACATTTGGTTAATTGGAAGCAGGCAAGATGAAAAATGAGCAAACGCCTTCGCCGGGAATCGAACCACGGACCTCTGGAATACCGGCCCAGCGTGCAGAACCACTACACCACTACACCACGCCAAGAAGGTGGGAGAAATACCTTATATACTCCCCCTTTTAAAGGGCGACTAGGGTTTTTAGGGGGCCCAATCGCCAAATCCCGGGTATGGAGAATACTCATCCACAACCCTTTTAGTTCGAGCGCCCCTGTAGAGACATTAGGATTATTTGGAGGCAGGCAAGATTAAAATTTAGCAACCGCCTTCGCCGGGAATCGAACCACGAACCTCTGGAATACCGGCCCAGCGTGCAGAACCACTACACCACGAAGCCACGCCAAGAAGATGGGAGAAATACCTTATATACTCCCCCTTTTAAAATGCAACTGGGGTTTTTAGGGGGCCCAATCGCCAAATCCCGGGTATGGAGAATCCTCATCCACAACCCTTTTAGTTCAAGCACCCCTGTAGAGACATTACGATTATTTGGAGGCAGGCAAGATTAAAATTTAGCAACCGCCTTCGCCGGGAATCGAACCACGGACCTCTGGAATACCGACCCAGCGTGTAGAAGCACTACACCACGAAAGCACGCTAAGAAGGTGGGAGAAATACCTTATAAGATATAAAAATTATTGATGGTATTCTGATGTAAAATAAATAATTTCTGAATAGTAAAGAAAAAAAAGTTTAAGAAATTCTAACGGTTTTTAAGCTTTTTTCTCTACGTCGCAGTCTACTAGCCTGCTGTTTCACTCACTGCTCACCCATTTCTTTTGTCTTTTCAGCTTTGTTATTAAAATTCATTTTCTTCATACTTACGTCATATACAATTCAACAGCAAAATTGCAAAAGATTTAAAAGCAACATACGTTTAGAATTCACAATGCAGCGTTAAGTTTTGGCATACATTTTAAAGTTGTTTTCACTCTTTTGTCAGTTCATCATACCAATGTTAAGTTTTTTTTCAGAAGATGGCTCACAAAACTTTTGTTTTGTCTTTTCGAAACTAACGTCCCTTTCGGGTTAAAAGTAAATATGCCTGATGTATCAGTTTTGATTTAAAGTTATTTGTAATATTTATTTCACTTGCATTTTCTTATAGAAAAAGTTTGTTAATTCATATTCATATTAAGATAATAAACAGATTTTAAACACAGCGAACAGATAATAGACAGAAAGCATGTTCAGTAGGAAATCCGAATTTAAGAAATAATCCCTCAAAAATGAATTTTAGAATTTTCGCGCTAACTGTCATTTTGCATATTTCACTAAAAAAAATATTTTCTTCCGTTTATTGCTCTGAATAGAATTTCGAAGCAAAAATAGTTAACAAAGACAAGAAAGAACATACCTTCATACTGAACTCTGAAATGGCAAACAGTCACAACTGAAACGCAGTATAATCCAAATGAACGAAACAAAATATTGAGCACAAAATTGCCAAATTAGTAATGCTAATTTGGCAGTTTTGTAAAGAGTTTCGAAGAGCGCTTAAATTTCGTCTGCTTTCCTCAAAAATAACGAGGCGAATGAAATCGAAATTATATTACGATTTCGGTTGCTGGTTCCCAAACCGGTCGTAATGCGTACGGAACTTGGAGGGAAGAAACCAGCAGAGGGGAACGAGGGAAATTCTATTGTTATAATATTCCAGATGTGACGTCATACGACCAGATGATATGATGTTTCCTGCGGCAAATGCCGTTAGCCCCTTAGCAGTATTCCTTTCTACAAGCTTCCGTATTTTTACCTTATGTTCGTTATAACTAGAAGATGCGGGAAGGGAATTTTACCCTTATCATAAGGTATTTCTCCCGCATTCCTAGCGTGCCTTCGTGGTGTAGTGGTCAACACAGACGGCATTTCAGAGGTCCGTGGTTCGATTCCCTGCGAAAGCGTTGCTAATTTTTCTTCTCTTCTGCTTCCAAAAATTACCTAATACGATTCACACGGTTCAGTCGAATTCGGGAAATGCCGAAAATTCAAATATTCCCGCTTTCTTCTTTTAAGTCCAAAGAGCTTTGTCCCTGAAGGACTATTGTTTTCGTTTTGCGATTGAATCACTATAAATGTCCGTTTCCCTTTTCAAACTGTTGCCACAAAATGTTAGAGTCTTGCATTATATTTGAAGAAATTAAACAATGAAAAATCTGCATAAATGTATATATATTTCTCGCATTGTGATAAAACAACTGTATCTAGAGACATCGAATTTTGAATGACGTAATCCTCCTACGAATATGGGCCTGTGGAAGCCCAAATTTGAAATTTGGAATTTGTTTTATTATCGATTTCATATTTTGTAAAACTTTAACGAATTTTTGATTAACAAACTCAAGGATTTCAAAGCGAGCCATGGCAGCGTTGTACAGAAAAAAAAAAAAAAAAAAATTTATCTTCAGCACGCGAGACTCTGCATCGGAAATTCTAAAGATATGTTCAATTTAAAACTATTTTGCGATATTGCTGTTGAACTAAATTTTATGGTTTAATTGCGAAGAACGTGATAATTAATAAAGATAACAGAAAATTTTTTAAAAAAACGCACCTTTGGACGTAATTTAAAATCTGAAGCTTTTCAGATTTTTTTTTCACACTTTTCTCAATAAATACGGGTTATAAGGGGGCTAACAATCAGGGCAGATTGCAGCGAAAGTCATCTGCAAATTCATTCGTACGAAATGGGGCAGTTTGTCATTCCAACAGAAAGCTACAGACAGCTGG